AGAATAGTTTAAAACACACACATTCATATATATTCAGTGTATAATAAAGCTGGCATCATAAATCTCTGGAGAGAGAAGAGTTTATTCAATAAATTTTGTTGGAACTTTGGGCTAACCATTTGGCAAGAAACTTAATCTCTTCCTCAAATTATACACCAAAATAAACTCCAGATGGGGTTACACCTAAGTAAAAAAGTGAATAGTAAAAAACTTTAGGAAAAGATGTAAGCGAATGGGGAGGTTATCAAAGGCAGAAGCCGGACATGGAAAAACAAGGACACAAATAGACCCCTGCAGAAGAGTGTAAGCGAGAAAGAAAGCCAGCGACAACAAAATCCTCAAGGACAACTATAACTTTCAAAGCAGAGAAAGGACCAAGATCTCTAACATTCTCCAAAGAAGCTTTATAAACATCACAACCAACGGTATTTCAGTAGTAGCTGTCCAAAGGATGAGAACACGAGCATCACAGGTTACACGTGAGAATGAAAATGCTTATTCCTCTAACCTAAGAAATGCAAATTAAAGTCACATCAGCAGATTTCCCAATGGTGGGGATAAGGAAAAGGAGGAACTGGCCGTCCATCAGGAACTGGGTAATAAAGAACTTGGGGGTCCTGGACGCACAGGGAGGTGTCTTCGCCGCCCCGGGGTGTAGTGAGCAGTGCGGAGAAGCGAGCTATGAGGATTGAAAATGCAAGAAAGCTATTTTGGTCCATTCGGAGTTGCTATAATGAAACACGGGTGGCAAGCTGGGAGCTGGCGGCTGCCTGCGCAGCTGGCCCTGCGGTGGGGCTTCTCGCGGCCCAAACACGGCAGCAGTGGAGCAAGCAGCGCGACAGAGCGCGCGCGAGAGAAGCGCAGGGGACAGAGCAGGCGCAGCCTTCTAGCGGGGACTCCTCAAGGCCATCAGCCAGGCCCTCAATAGCCAAAGCACTTGGGGGCCCAGTACCTCGCTGGGGCCCGCATCTCAATCTGAGCTTAAGTGCAGACAAACCAAAGCTAAAGATACGGAGGAAATGTTCAGTGTGCATTTTTTGAGTAATTTATTGTTTTTCAGGGCCTGGTCAAGAAAAACAAAAAGGCAATACACCAGAACGCAGTGAGGAAAAAAAAAAATCTCTCAGTAATTAAAAAAAGAAGCCAATCAAAATAAGCAGTTTCTCAGGAAACTCCTATCATGTGAGAGGATCTTGGTTTTGGTTTTACAAAGTTGTTACCAAAATACGAAAAACGTCCTGGCATGATGAAATGATTTTAAGCCTGGAAACACCGGGTGGCTTGGGCACCACCCAGCTGTACTGGCTCTAGCCTTGGAGCACTGTGTGTCAGGACCCCTGAGCAGCGCTTTCCTGGACTGCAGAACTTGCGGTGACACTGCTGGGTGGGTCATTTGATTTTACACAGTGTTTGGGAAGCACAGGAAAGCCCAAAGAATAAATGTCCTTCGCGAAAGAATCTTGCACAAAGTGCTTTGACAGTTCCTTTCTGGACAGATTATTTCAGAGTGTGGTTTCGTATTTGCTGTCAATGATAAGAGAACCAGCAACTTCTAAAATTTTTCTGTAAGTAAATAGGAGGGGAAAGAGGAAAATGAGGATAAAGAAAATAAATGAGAATAGCTACCGGAAATTCCTCTTCCAGACTGGTACCTGGGATCCCGTGGGACATTTCGGGGTGGGGTTGCCAGCATGCTAAGAACCTCGGGGTTTAAGGTGCATGAATTCTCCCGCCACAGTTCCGTGTGTTGTCACTGGCAGCGGTGTGCAGACATGCCCCACTGATTGCCTTTCCAGTAGCAAGTGTTTGCTATTTTTTTTTCCAAAATGATTTACGGTAATTTAATTTACCTTCTGGGCTCCATGTCACTGGAAGATGAATCTCATTCTGCTCTCCTACAAGGATTATTCCAGAATTCCTCAGCATCGGTTATACCTCATTACTTAACACGGGCGTTTATGTTTTCCACCTTGGAAGTTAAATCCAGCCTTGAGAAGAGGAATTCTCTTTATGTAATAGGGCTCTATCTTATATAGAAGACAGCTTGTTTATATTGATTCTTTTAAAGTAAACGGGCCCACCACTCAGAAATAATTCCCTGCCTGACAGTGTGTTAAGACTGGGTTAGTGGCATTCAGCTGCTTACCCCGACTTTGCCTGCCAAGGCTGTGTTAAAGATCTCCCAGATCTCTGCACGTCCAGAGCCAGCGTGGGTTTTGGAGGTGCAATCTCAGAAGCATCGTCTTGCAGAAGTATTTTTCTCATATACTTCCATGGCATCTGCAAAAGGACTCTGAAGACCAAAAAGGAGACTGAGACTGGAGGATCGCAAGTTCAAGCCCAATGGGGGTAACTCAGCAGGACCCTGGTTCAAAATAATAAACAAGAGATGGGAACATAGCTTCATGCAGAGGCTCTAGATTCATCCCCAGTACCACAAACAACAACAACAACAACAACAACAAAAACCCAGAAACTAAATCTTACTCTTGTGTGGCTTTCTTCATTCCTTGACAAAACACTGGGGTGCTCCCTGATGTCCCAAGTGTGGAAAGGCTCCTTGACCTTGGCAGTTCTCAAACCCTTAGATGTTATTTGATGAATTGGTGGAACATTTTTGCAAATTTTGCCGTCTGATATCGATTTGTTCTGTTCATCTCAAACCCTCCAAATTATTGCTTTACTGGAGAGGGGTTTAGGGGTATCACAAAGTGACAGGTATCCCTAAGAAAGAGACTTAGGGGTCCCCACCTGCCGCTCTCAGAGGGACACACACGGGGTCTCCTTGCAGGAACATACCAGGATAAAGGCAGGATGATTTTTGTCCTTCCTTTGTGTTCATCTGATACTCAAAAGTTTTCCCAGTGACCTGGGTCTGAGAAATTGGGGGACTTTCTTGCCACCTATTCTGTGACAGGGAATGACAAGCGTCTACCCTAACCTCGTGCGTGGTGGCTTCCAGTTGGTCACTCATGGCAGCGGGATGAAGGTGAGCACTGAAACGGGGCTCTCACGAGAGGCAGAGCCTCCTAGGATGGTGAGGCAGGGGGGTTTGTTCAAAGCCAAAAGGTTCCCCCTGTGACTTCTGCTGCGGTTACGCTGACGTGAGGGACCGCACTTTCATGCGTAGTCAGGAAGGAGACTGGGATGATGATCATGCAAGAAATTCCTTGAGACTCCCATTGAGGACACTCACAACACCTTCTGCAGGAGCGGGATGCTGCTGATGAGGTGCAATGTCTCCCACTGGCAAGGGACAGGCTCTAGGAGACCAAGGGGCAGAAAAGAAGGAGGCTGTTTGACTGGCAAACCCCAAAGGGTTCTGGGAGTGGAAGATTTTGGGAGAAAAAATGAGCACTAGGGTGGGGGAGAGGGGCACGATGTGTGAAGGCCTCTGCATTTAGGATCAGGTGACTCCTCTTGCACTCACACTCTGCCGCTAGCTGGCTGTGTTTTCACAGTGAGCCTTGTATGCATGCTGAGCTCCAGTCCTGGCCCAGAAGCTGATGATGCCAGGGTCTTTCCTCGTCAAGAAAGGCAATGCTGTGATGTCCCTGGCAATGACTGAGCTACCTAAAGAGGTTCTGATCGTGTGTAGAGTTCACAAAGTTATAGGAACAGAAATACCAGTCTTGTGGCTATTAAGTCAGTGGCCTAAGAGCCATCTTTCAGCATGTACATATGCCAATCTCTGTCCACCTCAGGGCCTTTGCTCATGCTAGGATTCTTCCCTATGGAGAATGCTGTTTTTTAAAGTCTGACCCGCTGAGTTTATCATGCAGATTTTTGCCCAAAATATCCTTTCCTTAGATTAGATTTGCTGTCTCACCCAAATTCCCAGAACACCCAGTCTTCTGTTTCAAACCATTTAACACAGTCCTCATTCCGCTCATATTTACTTATGTAATTTTCTCTTTTTCCCTAGACTAGAGCTCTATGAGGATTTCTGTCTCATTCAATATAATTTACTTTAATAGCCAACACCTGTGACTAGCATATATTAAGCATGCAATAAACATTTTGTTATAGATTGAACCAGAGGGAGCAGTAATCACTTTTCCTAAGTACCTGTGTGTTTCAGGCCAAGTGAGGTCTTGGATTTGTTCTCTGTCTTCCAAAAGAAACAGCCGCTGTGGTTAAGATATTTGGATTAATAACATCATTTGATGTTTTAGTTTGCCTAGCACTTCAGCTCCTTTGGTGCACTCTGCAACAAATGCCCCTTATAATGTTTTCCAGAAGAGTAAAGTTTTTCAAACACAGAGGATTAGGATTGTAAACTGATGGATTGTAAGCCATTTCCAAAAGTTAGTTAGAACTGCATGGAGCTGTTTTATCAACACTGTTGTAATTTCTCAGAGTTTCAAAGCGCATTTCTGCCTTCTGAACATTCAGGCACAGGTGGGCACGACAGCGGGGCCAGTGTGAACGCGGGCCTTGGTGGCATCAGGGCCTCCCAGGGCGGCACCAACGGGTGGGTCCTCTGCCTCTGGGGGAGGGGTCACCCTCTTGGCAAGTGGGTCCCCAGGGAGGAGATGAAAACCGAGACCCTCCATGGGAAGCAGGGCTGGGGTCCCAGTGTCTTCTCTGTCACCCAAAGCTACTGTGTGGCCCCCAGTCCTGCACCGGTGGCGCCTGTCAAGGGGGTGCATCCCGGCCCTGCGCCCTGCAGAAGTGCGGAAGAACATTTAAGCTGACCAGCGGTTTCTTTGCACACAGCTCGAACCTTTTTTTTTTTTTTTTTTTTTTGGTACCCGGGATCAAACTCACGCTTGAACCTTTTCCCCAGGGTGCAATTTTGATTTCTCCACAGCCAAGGTCCGGCTGCGCATGCGCACACAGCCTCAGGAGGGGTGGGGGAGGGGCTGTCCTCAGGACTGGCAAGAGCAGAGGCGCAAAGGTCAGGGCCCTGGCAGGGGGAAGATAAGGCTGGGGTGGAAGGTGGAGTCGGCCAAGGGCAATAAACAGGCCTTGCACAGTGTCTCCCAGCAACGCTGGGGAGGGGAGAGAGAGGAGCCCATTAAGAAAGCAGAAGGGAAGGAAATGACCGCTTCAGGAATGTCTGGGGCACTCAATAATTTAAAAAATATTTTTAGCAAGAGAATTGGAGGGGCTGAAGTAAAGAGCACGGACCTGTGTCCACCTGAGTGTCCCCAGAGCCAGTGCAGCCCAGGGCAGCTTGGAAAGCGGCCTTAGCTGGGGACATGGAGCTGGCAAACCTGGCGGGCTCCCGTGGGTGTGGACACACTGGGCAAGCAGAGCTCTGGTCCCCAGGCCATTCTGAATCCACCCAGAAGTGGCCCCACCTGTGACGTGTGGCTGTGACTGTGCCGGCCTGAAGGGCACAGTATGTGCACAGTGCTTCTCTGAAGTCTAGAAAATTCTGAACCATGTTGGGCCAAGGCGGTTCAGGTAAGAGGCTGTAGGCCTGGAGTTGTGGAATTTCAGCTCCACCTGCTGCTCCTCTGAGTGGCACAGGCAAGGCGCCCTGATCCTGCAGCTCAGGAGGAGCAGCCTCGATTGCCCCCAGCTCCGTGGGGCCTCGCCCACCAGCCTCAGCCTCGCAGGGTAAGGAGGAGAGGGCCTTATTAGCTGTCAGAGCTGTCAGTGTTGTTCCACAGAAGTGCTCATCTCTGAGTTGCAAAAACCCAGTTGGAACGGATGGGAGGGGAAAGTGACAAAAAACGTGAAGTTCAGACACTACATACTGTCCAAGAGCAATTCCTGGAAATTAGATCAACACTGAAGTTCATGGAATTTTAACAAAAAATAAAAAGGATGGGGGAGGGGGGTTGTTTGTGTTCAGCATTTTTGTCGTTGTTGCTGTTGCAGGGTTCTTGTTATTGTTGTTGTTGTTGTTTCTATTCTGGTTTAATTTCAGCCCTGTCTGAAGAGAAGATATTTTCTGTATCAGTTTGAAGCCAAGACCTTGAACGCAGGGGAGCAATAAGCAGCAATCCCTGCAGCGTTCACAAGATGAGAAACGCAGCCAGATGACAGCGGAGGCTGGGGTTCAGGTACCGGTGTAGTTTCTGGGACAGGGTCAGGATTTCTGCAGGTGTGAGATGCAGGGTCTCCAGAGGGGTGTCAGCCCTGCAGCCGTGCAGGCCGGGGACTGGGGAGAAGGTACAAAGTGTGCACAGGCAGGCAGGACCATCCCTGAGGGCTGTCTGGGACCCTGAGCACCAGGCGAGGGTGTCCGTGGGTATCCGTGGGTGCCACGGGCTGTCACTCTGCTTCTCACTCCCCTTGGCTGAGACCCTGTGCTCTCACCAACCCTGCACCTAGCAGGAATAGAGAAGCACTGCACCAGCTCACTCAGGGTCACCAGAAGGCCCGGTGGCACATGCTTAGGAGTACAGTCCCCAGAGTCCCTTTGCTGGACTGAGTCCCAGCCCTTGTCAAGTTCCTTACTGCTGGGGTGTCCTCAGGATCGAGGAACCAGCTCCTGTAAAGCTGACCACCCAGCTGGACCCGTGGCGATGTCTCAGCGTGAGCTCTTGGTCCTCTGCTTGTGTGACTTGGAGTCCTTTGTCATACCAAGTTGCCCATCGTGTGCAGAAATCGCCAGTTTCAGCTCAGACTATTGTACCCTGAGCAAAAACAGCATTTCATTTGTGGTCTCTCTGGCCGATCACTGCTAATTTAAAGATTTCACTATTCTTAATCACAGTAAGCCCTCAGTCCCCGAATCTCTCAGCTAAGCAGCTCTGCAACTCCTAGTCACAGCAAAAAATGATTTCTGGCTCCTTTTTGTATTCTTGACTCCATCGCAGCATGATGACACCACGATAGAGTGCGAGCCTCGCTTTACTTTGTCAGTTGAGATAATAATGGCTTTGCAGGCTTCTTAAAGATTTTGCCAGTTAATCTTGATCACCAGTTTGGCTGGATTTAAAGACTCCTGGAAAGGCGATCAGATCAGGGGGTGCTATCCTTGGCAGTGGATTCATCCCTGCCCCCCACAGCTGAGTAGGGTGTGAGGAGGGGGGAGCCAGTTGCGGGGTCGCTGGGGTGTGCCTCTGAGGATCACATACTCCCTGGCACTCGTCTTGTCTGCTGTGCTTCCCGGCTGCCATGGGGAGAGCAGAGCAGCCTTGTGCTGCCATGAACATTCACCAAGATGTTCAGCCTTGGAGCCAGTCCACCACTGACTACACCCTCTGAAACCATGAGCTAAATTAAACTTCTTTAAATTATATGTGTTGGAATTGTGGTCACAGCAGTAAAAAGCTAATATGCAAGTATAAAAGCTTATTTATTCTCCCTGTTTCTTATTCTCTTTTATTATGCTTTTTAATTTATTTATACTTTGAGTTTAGGTCCTTGGTACATGGGAAGAGAACTGAGAGATGGAGAAAAGGAGGAGGAAGTGAAGGGAAGGGAATGAAAAAACTCCCCATGATGAATATAATCATTGTGTACTACAAATATGTACTAATAAAAATAAAAATTTTTGCTGGGTATGGTGGCTCATGCCTGTAATCTCAGCACTTGGGAGGCTGAGGCCGGAGGATCATTGCAAGTTTGAGACCAGCCTGGACTACAAAGTGAGTTCAAGAACCTGAACTATGTAGCAAGACCCTATCTCAAAAAGACAAACAAAAAAATTTTTTAAACCTTGTCTAACAAAATGTGACTTTATGGCAAGCAGTTGACAGTACCCTGTTTGCTGCACAATGCATTCCGGTGAAGAACAGGGGAATCTCCCTGTGAAGAAGGGTAGAGAAAAATATTTTCCATTTTCGATAACAAGGAAGTCTGCCCAGTGTAGCCGAAGCTCTTCAGAAGCAGCATCAACCCAGCTCCTGAGGACTCTGGCTGAGGGGGGGAATTGGGTTACCATGGTGCTCAGACTACAGACCATGGTAACAGTTTACGAATATTTAAAGGCTATAACAGAAGATTTAATTACCTTAAAACACCTTGCATGAGCTTGTTTGCTAAAGAGGTGACACTCACAGTGAGATACTTCAGAGCCCAGACCCCTAGAGACTTTTCATTTGGGGGCTGCAGCCAGGAACGGGGCTGGAGCCCTGGTAGGGAAAACCTTTTAGGACTGTGCCGTTGAAGAAGACATGAAGTTATGGCAGAGGCCAGCCTCTTGGAGACCCCCACAAAACCTTTGCAAAGAATGGCAGTCGCTGTTGAGTGGTCTTCCAAGTGGTGGGCGGCATGCCTCAGCACTCCAGTGAGCAGAGAGCGAGCCACTCCACTTGCAGGGGAATGGAGGAGAAGTTCAAGCTCAGTGGTGGTCACCCAGCGTGGGGACAACCAGTGGCCTCATTTCATTTCATTCCTGATGCCATTTGCCTTTCCCGTGTGTCGCTGTTCTTGGGAACGTCCATCCACGTGTGGGACAAGCGCCAAGCGGAGGTTCTCAGGGTGGTTATTCCTTCTTGGCAACTGCGTTGCAAGGCCCTCTGGATTAATTTAGAGCTATTAATTATGATGAAGTCATTAAGGTTAAAGTTTCCTGGAACACTTGTGGAAATCATTTATCCAGATAGCAGGTCCCCAGTTAATGTGGATAATTAGATTTTGGAGACAGACACTAATCTGGGCCCGGTAGACATCATCGCAGAAGGAAAGAGACGCATGTAGAGAAGGCTCGTGTCAGGCTTATCATCGAGGTACAGGCTGACTGGGAAGAGTTCACTTTGTAATGACCTGTGAGTGCCCTCGGAGAAACGATCCTCAAAGCACAAACAAAACAAAACAGTCCTCTGGGGTAGACAGCGTGAAGACGAAGAGAACTTTCTTCATGCCTTATGTAAGAAGACCCTGGTGATTTCTTTGCATATTGTGGATGGTTAAATCCTAAACAACAGACAAAATGTCTTTGTGTTGCCCGAAGACTAGAAATGACATTAAATGGGAACATACGATTATTTTATGTTTCTATACAACTACATGTTTGCCAAAAGATTTATAATCACTGGTTCCTTACTATTTACAGTATCCCTCTAAAGTAGAATTCCCCATTCTGGGCCTGGGAAGCCTCACAGGCAGTGGAGGAATTGCAAGAGGTTCACAAAGATTGGAGCTGTAGTATTTCAAGCATCTGTCTGGTGGCCATAGAAAACTGTATATAGAGGAGGGAGGTGCAGGCTGCCAGCACCCATGTTCCTGGGTAGGGCCCCCTGGAGACCTGGAGACCCTGGTCAGGACCAGGCTTGCCTTACTGCTGGAATCCGGGGATGCTTCCCACTCTCCTATCCTAGAGGAAGTGTCCACTGAAGCTCTGGTTTGTGGGAGGGTGACATCGTAGAGTCTCTGGGGACTTGTGTTTGAATCCCAGCTTTAGTCCTTGCCAACTCGGTGACTCTGGTAAGTTTGTGACCCTTTCTGAGCCTTCCACACAACATGTGCAAAGTGTCGGATAATCACACAAGTGAACAAGATGCTTTGCATTCACCAATGGCTACTGGTGATGTTCCACGGTCCCTGCAGGAGTCCCTACTATAGGTCAGAGAACAAGCACGAGCGGCTTTCCCTGGAGAGACACTCTCCCAAATCCCTAACGAAACACAGATAGGAGATACACGCACCTATAAATATGAGTTTAGTATGCAGCATCACAAACACTTCAATGGAGAGCCTGCAGACATCAGAAAGCTGCATAAACTTTACGGTCCTTCAGTCCTGCTCTTTGGTTCTGGCTTGCTGAGGTCTCCAGAAGCTCTGTCTGAACTGTGATGCTGCTTTTGTTCCCAGGGAACCCAGCGTTAGGAGATGAGTGACTTTTATTTTCCAGGATGGTTTCCCTTCTTTTCATAATCAAAACATGGTTTGTTTTCTTTGCCAAAAGAGAAGCATTGGGTACTGTTTGTAGTTATTCCATCCTGAGGATTTCTGCACTCTTTGGTTTCCCCTTCCTAGCTGAAAACTGCCTTGAAAGAGGAGGCTGAAACTAGGATTCAAAGGTGGCGGTGGTGACAGTGGTGGTTGCAGCTCAGCTGTGGTCATTTATTATGGAGCATCACTGTCCGGTGCCTCAGAGGCAAGCCATGATTCATTGACTTGGTGTTCAGTGCATCAGCCACTTCTGGATGGCTCACGGTTTTGGAGATTCTGGTCTATAAGCCTGTGTTTTGGCCCTGTGCTTTGAGCCTATGGCAGGGCTGCACATCATGGCTGGAGCTTCACCTCTTAAAGGGTCCACACCTCCCAGCAGCTCCAAGCTGGAGACAAGCCTTTAACACCAAGGCCTTTGGGGGGCATTGCAGATCCAAACTACAGCACATGGTAACAAAGTTCTTTATTTGATGTTGGTGAGACAAGGATGGGAGAGATTTCCTTGTGTGCAGCTCTGTGGCTGCCACTCTCTGTAGAAGGACAAACAAAATTAACATTGTATATTCTTACCTAAAATTATGTTTAGAAAACATTCTTGCTGTCTTAGAAAGACCTAGCTGTGCCCTTCCAAATGTTTTTGCAGACGGCAAGAAGTAAAACAGAAGCTGACAGAACTTAGCAAGGAGGGCAACTTGGAAAAAAGGCCACAATAAAATAGTAGTGAGAGACAGATTCTGCTGAAGTCATGTTGAAGACCTCCAAATGGAAAGGACAGGAATTACTGAAATTAAATGGCAATGAATAAAGGTTTATATAAAACTAGCAGGGAGATGGTAGAGTGAAAAGCAGACAGTAGGTAAAATAGACCCGGGAAAAAACAACCAAAAGTGTGAAAAAGGAATACTGTTTTAGTAAATTAAAATTTATATAATTTAAATTGTTATATTTTAAATAGATTAAATGTTATAATTTTAAGTGTCCACATGTTAAAGTTTGGACTATTCAGATTGAAAGAGGCTGCTCTCTTGGAAGAAAAATTAACACAGAAGGATCAATATTGAGACATAGCTTAGAAAATGATTGAAATTTAAAGATATTTAAAAATTCTTTGATAGTGAAATCAATTCACCTGGAAAAAATCAGTTGGTCTTTAGCTTTGTGACAGCAATAGTTACAGGAGGCAAAAGAGATTTGAATAATGTTTACAATGCATTACCAAAGAGTTTTATACCCAGCCAAATTACCATCAAGTCAAAAACAGAAACAGACATTATGAATATACAGCAGCAGAAAATGGAAAGTTTTGAGTATAAGACTTTAATACCTTTTATTGTGCATTTTAGTATAGGTAAATATAAAATAATGTAATTAATAAAGTTAATATATATGTTGAATTCTGTAACTTAAAAACAGAAGACATGCTTTGCAAATGCCATTGGAATACTTACAAAATGTGATCATATACAAGGCTACATAGAAAGATTCACTAAATCTTAAAAATTAGAATGAATATAGAAATGATTCCCTAGTCACAAAACAATTCATTTAAAAATTATTAGTAAAACTAGAAGAAAATAATTCTGCATCTGGAAATGCTAAAATACTATTTCCTATGCAACTCTATCACTGGGAATAGATTTCAGTATCTTTAAATGAAAATGAAGGCCATTATGGGATAGATTTAAAGCAGAAAATTAACACCTTCATATTTATAGTCAGATAAAAAGGAAAGCACCATGCTATAGATTTTAAGGTGAAAATTTAATACAAATATAAACTACATAGAAAAGTATTCAAAAATGCTATAAAAAGATTTAATGAAGTGGAAAGGCATGGTATCTTTTTAAATAAAAAGACTTAACAAACAAAATTCAGCCTAAAGAAATCTATACATAAAGTGTATGGTCAGTAAAAATAAGGAATTTAAAAACATCCTAATAAGCCTGATTTAATCTCTGGTAATAGCAGGCTCCCTTGATGGTCTTCACCCTTCAATGAAAACTGAAAATTTGGATAAAACATTATGTAAAATCCTTCTTAGAGATACTGAAAAGCTAACAAGATAACGGGGAATTACTAAGTGATTAGCTCTTGGTCAACTGCATTTGTGGATTGGTTTAAATTGACTTGGTTGTGGTTTTAATGAACAAATAATGGTGACTATTATGTTAATATTCACTTATATATATCAAATTTCAGCATATCATTTCATATATATATTCACACACAGTTTTACTGTATTACATTCACTGGCAACACAGTGAACTTGCATGTTAGTCAGTAAAAAGAAAGGAGAGGGGAGGGAGAGAGGGGGTAAGAGATGAGAAGCAAAAGCGTGTTGCACCAGCTCCACGGGAGGAAGCTGAGCATTATGTACCAAAAAAGAGAAAAGAAGGCAGGGCGGGGGGAGGGATCAAGGGCTGGACTGGGGAGGGAGAGAAGGGAAAAGGATGAGAAAAGGAAGTAAAATGTCTTATGTACTGTACCAAGATCCTGCAGGGAACGTAAACATTCTATACTAATAAAATAATTCAGCCAGGGTTGGTGGTGCACACCTGTAATACTCAGGAGGCTGAGGCAGGAGGATTTATGCAAGTTTGAGGACAACTTGGACTACACGGTGAGCTCAAAAGAGAGAGAGAACAGCGCCAAGACACATCATAAAGGAATGACAAAATATGTAGACAAATAGAAACTGTTAAAAATAGATGGGGTGTTGACCTCAGAAGCGATGATTCATTGTTGTGGTTGATACACTGTGTCAGTTTGAAAAGTTTAGAAATTCAACAAGAGACTCAGGTATTTTGTCCCAGCAAAGAGAGAAAAGTAACCAAGACATTCATGAATAAGATGAACCTGACAAGATGTCAGACTATACCGTGAAGGGACAATCGGTGAAGATCTCATGGTCTTTTTGGGTAAAGAGATCCATATAACAAAATAGGAAGTCCAAAAATGAATAAAGGATATAAAGAAAATATATACAAATATTTCAGCTGCCACTTCTGGTCTGTAAATCTGAAGGGCAGAGACAGGGATCCAATCAACAGTGTCTGAAGAGCTACCATGCTGTTAGTTTGCACGGCATCATGTGGGCTTTGGAAGCAGTAGAAGTGAACGGCTGGCTGAAGCTTGAACTCTGGGGAAGACTGGTGTTTAGCAAATTTGTTTAATAAAGAGTCACTTCAGGCTGTTGTGATAGCGCTACAAAGAGCACATGCAGGATGCCACTGAGGACTAGGGACCCATCAGTCTCTACGGGCTTGGAGCAGCCTGTCCTAGAGAGCTGTACACAAAGCTTCGAGGGAATGAATGAACCAAGTGAAGGACAGAAGATTTCTGGGGGAGGGAGTAGCAGGTTGCGATGGCCTGTGATAAAAAAAGAGCTGGAGACAGCGGAAATCGCAAAACAAGCCGATGTTCAAAGGGGCAAGAGGAGGGTGTGAAATGGTAGCCCTGGTGGACTTAGGGTAGAAAAGTTCCCTACTTAATCTGCAAGTAACCACGGCCTGCCCGCTGTGTGCTCCCAGTGTCACGGGCATTGACCTGCAGCAGTGCTTCTGTCCTTATTGTCCTATGGACTTAAAGACAAGCAGTCCCAGCACTTGGGAGGCTGAGGCAGGAGGATTGCTGTGAGTTCGAGACCAGTGTGGGCTACAAAGTGAGTTCAAGGCCAGCTTGAACTTCATAGAGACCCTGTCTCAAAAAGACAAAAAAAAAAAAGACAGGCTGGGAATGTTTTCTTCTCTGCCCAAAGAGGGAGCAAAGCCCCCAGACTCACCCCAGACTCACATACAAAACGATGACTCACCCTCAGCACCTGCTACAAAGCTCCAGTTCCATTTTGCACCTTTTGAGAGCTCCATGTCTCATGGAGAGCACCAAACCTTATGGCTTACGCAAGCCGTGGCTTTTCAGGATGTGGCCTCAGTGCCTGCTGGGTAACATGGCCTCAGATTGAAGAAAAGCATTTCACGGTGTCCAAAACGATGCTGAACGAGGAGTAAAGCGATAGGGAAACGATGCACTCGGCTCCACAGCCCAGTAACTTGCTGGCTCATGAGCTGTGTGTTCACCCCACTTTCAGGAGCGAGCACTGTATGTTTGGGGGACACTGAATAGGCCCACAGCGCTTCTCACCTGAGAGTCTCCAGGCTGGGGCAGAGAGAGACGGAATGGAGAGTAGATTTGTTAAAACAAGCCAGGCCCACATGGCGCTGCAGCGCCTGAGTCACGGAGGGAGGCACACAGAAGGCCGTGCAAAAGGAGGAGAAGCCTAAAAATAACAGTTCCCTGGAAGGGTGGAGCTCTGGGCTGCTGTTGTGTCACACTTGGCTCTGTTGCTGCAAATTCCTCGGTGAAAGCAGCAAGTGGAAGGAGGCCTGAAGACACCTGGCTTTCAGGAGAGACGTGGCAGGTGTCGCGGATGGAGGTGCCAGGGTCCCCAGGGCCTCCGCGTCCCTGATTCCTGAGCCGATGCCTGGGTCCTCTGTCAGAGCCCCGCAGCTTTAGTGGAAGGCTTTGCTTCCTGCGCATCCCAAGCGCCTCAGGCTGCTGTCCGCGTGTGCAAAGGTTGTGGGAGGAACAAGGGTGCTGGGTTGTTTTCTTTTTTACTCTCTTTATCTTCGTCCTGCTGTTCCATCTACTCCACGGGGGCAAGGACCTTGTTTGTGCTGGTTTTAGTTCCGTCCTTAGTGTCTCGCACAGAGTAGGAGCTACATAAATATTTGCTTAAGGAAAAATGGAAAGAATGTCTCCAGCTCGGCCTCTCAGTTTGCAGGCAAGGAAACTGAGCCGGGAACAGAAATTTGCCCTGGTCATGCAACCAGGAAGCAGCGCTGGGCGCGAGGCCAGTCTGACTCCTCGTGGGTGCTCTTTTTGTTCAGTGGAGTTAGCAGTATGACTCAGGATGCCTGGGACCAAGCACGAGGTCACTGACACTCGGCTGGGGGACATGAAATTCGAGGGTCCTACCCCAAAGGTGGGGAACTTAAATGAACAAAGCTCACCAGGAGGAGGGCTGCCCTCCGCAACAGCCCCAACAGCCAGGGTGCTCCTTTCTTGGGCTGCTGTGTCTGCCTATATTTGTTTTTAATAGGACTCAGGCCGAGAGCTTGTGGTCTGCCCGGCACCCCGACTTTACCTTCTGCAGACAGTTCTGTAGTCATTAATGCCGACAGTGTGTGTGCTCTGGGTGTTTTGGATTTTTCCCTCTTATAACCAGGCAATCCTTTACATCTGTCTGTTGGCAAAGAGCCACAAAGAGGAGCATCCAAACAAAGAGGAGAAAAGCCAGACTGGCAAGTGGGCTGACTGGGAAGGAGAATTTAAAGGATTTAAAGTTCACTGTGGGGGAAAGAGGGATTTTTAAGGAATCAGAGTGGATTAAAAAACATGGTCATTTTCAAAGCCAGTTTATACTCAGACTTACATTGGTTTGTTGTCTTAAAAATAGCTCTTCATCTGAGAGGTCAGGGGCAGTCGTAGGAGTGGTGAGGGGTTGGGGAGGCTCTGGGCTGGGGCGAGGCAGGAAGGGGAGTCACATCCGGGGCCTCGTGGCAGGAACCCCGAGTGGAACCAGTGAGCAGTCGGAGGCCCACCTGGCCAGTGGCAAGGCAAGCTTGGGCTTTGACTCATCAAAGACCTTTCCAGAAGCAGGGCCTGAGCGCACAGGCCCGTGGGCAGTTCTGGACTCAGCCTAGGCTGGGTTCACCCACAGCTATGAGAATGGAACCAGATATTTGATTCAGGTTCACGCTAAGTCCATGCACTCCCCATGTATGTAATCAGGCAGAGAATTAACAATTATCTGAAAACATCCAAGCTACTGGGTAGGGAAATCCATAGGGACTGACTTAGATGGGAGCTACAGCCAGTGGGGGGTTTGAAACAGCTCCCACGCAGACAAATTTCAGTGTGAGATACCGAGTCCCACCAGCGGAACAGAGTGAAGCTGCCTCAGATCCATCAGTATGGCGGTAGATTGCTGGCTTTTAAATGTTTCCATTTTTAAAAGTTTAACAATCTCCCGATTGTGAAGGACACACAAACTCCTGGGTCAGGGCAGACTTTTGTTGGTTGATTCAAAGCAGACAGTTTTAGAGTGAGAATATATCTACAGTACCCCAGAAGAGGATGTGCCGTTCTAGAACCTTCCACGGTAACGAAGATGATGACTGAGAAAGAAAAAGAATAAGAGAAACAAAAGAAAAACAGCAAAGCCATCCCGACAGCGATTCAGAGGGCATAAATTAATCCATGTCCTTATCAGAGATTCACATGCTGAAACTCCTTGATACAACCCGGCAGGAAATGGGGTGAGTGATTCTGTGTGCAGACTTGGAAACAAAAATATCGACTCAGAGATACACACATCAGTGTGTTCATACTCGCTCTGAATAAAGTCTGCTTAGCGGGCGCTGCAGTGTGCAGTGGTGAGAACGGAGGGCCTGGCTGGGGGACGGTGGACGTGGAAACCATGGCAAATGCATCCCGGAGGAAAATATGGCTGAAGAGAGGGTCAGTGACGCGGTGCACTTGCAGCGCTGCGGACTGTGAGATGCTGCTGTGTGTCTTAGGGCCACTCGAGGTGGCTCAAAAGGAACCAGCATCAGCACTGAGCCTCTTAAAGCTACGGGCGTCTTATCTCTGACACGCAGTCCTCTGATCTCACGCACAGATGTTTCATGCTCTCCTTTGACAGTAGTCCCTGCTCCAGCGTTTTTAGTGTGGCCCAAGAATGCCAACGGTTTTGAAATTTCTGACTTATACCCTTGGGGACCTGCAGACATGGAACCCTCCAGGCCAAGGCCCCCAGGTCTCCCAGCAGCCCCCAGACGCCTGTCCAGACGGTCTCTCTCTGTCTCCACCAGTTCCCTTGCATACCACGTGCGTGTTCTATTTATATGTTTCTTTGTCCTGAACAAGATTTGGCCCCATTGTGTGGGAGCAACACCAGAAAAGAAAAACAAAATTCACCCACGGAGAGAAAAACGGAGCTTGTGGGAGCTGGGAGGAATTTACATACTTCGCTTGTTTCATTTTCTGGTGATGTCAGAGTCATGGAATACGCCTTTGAAAAACATCGCACACTCTAAAAAATGCCGGGCTCATCAGCTATGTCTGTCAAGTGGGTTGTCATTAAAAGGAGAAATGTAAACACTAGCCTGTCTCCCCTCATCTCCTTCCATCTTCCCTCATTGGCCGCTAGAGAACCTAACACATTAATCCAGACTGCATTTGGATGGAATTAAGGGCCTGTCTGCAAAGGACAGGGGTAGTAACGGGCGGGGTGGTCAGCGAGCCGCCTGGCAGCAAGGTGGTGCCGGGCTGGGGTGAGTGCCGGCGTGTCTCGGAGGCACAGGAGAGAGGCTGGCTGACACTTTACGGATTGGGTGTAATGTTTGGGAATTTGGCATTTCTGCCACAGGATTCTGGCTGCCCTGCTAACCACTTTCTCCCTGCTGGTAGAAGTGCAGGAGAAAAGGGTTAAATAAATGTTTGTGGTATGATAAGGTGCTTGTTTATTCAAGGAATGACAGATTATTGGCTCTGAAGGCAGCCCTGAAAAATAGTACAAAGGAACTGGCTTTCCCCTCGCGGATGACGTGATTTCCTCCCAAGATTCTGCTCCTTCCTAGGAACACTCTGCCCTGGGAATTAGGAAGGATGATTTCCCTAAAGTCAGAGACAGACAGCACAGGCACTGGGCGGTGGAGCCCTTGAGGTCGCTAGGAACTGGGAAGGGTTTGCCAGGGGACTGTCCTTTGCTGGCCTCACACTGGTCCAGCACAGAGCCTGGTTCCAGCACTGTGGTGGTTGCTACCATCACTAGAAAGTGGTACAACAGGTGTTCCCTGCCTGCTTTTCAGAGCAGGGGTGGGGACTCACTCAGAGGGGAGCTCTTCCCCAGAAAGTCCTGGTGCGAGGCCCACCCCTGACCACTCCAACGTTCTGCTGAGGTGCGTGCCCAGAACTTAGTGGCACCCGTGTGTTCCGAGCAAACCCACTTCCAGCTGCTGGGCTTTCTCCTGCTGGGTTCTAGGAACTTTGTAACTTGTCCAGGGGGAGAATTCAGTTCCAGATCCCCAAACAATGAGACATTCACCAGTGATCTGTGATCTGTGATCTGTGTGTTCTTTCTGGGGGAGAAAATGACCTGTCTGCCAATCTTGAAAATCACAGCAAGGCCTGGCCTAGGGGCCTGGGCCCAGCTGGCCTCAAGGGCCATGACGCCTTGCTGGACACTGCCAGGGGCTCCCACCCTGCTTCAAACCCCACTCCAGTGGGCTCCTGCTACAGAGCAGGGTTCCTTTCCCTCCCTCCCTTCCATACCCTTCTCCCCATATGCACAGGCTCGGAAGGGTTTGCACAAGCTATCTGGCCCAGTTCTCATTTGAAAAGCACTCAGAGCCAAAGTCAAACACCAAGGGGGAAAAAGTTGTGACTTCACTGCTGTTTTTCCAGGATCCTGGGAACTACCGCATGATTTTCACAATAGCCCTGCCACCTTATCAGCTGAGGGGCTCCTGTGGAAGACGGCAGGCACCAGCCTGGAGAACCCAGTGCCCTTCAGACGCGATGACTAAAGTTCACGCCAACGTTATCAAATAGCCATGATCGGGCTATTTTTATGATTGCATTCAGTACTAAGAGGCCTTGTTGAGTGTACACAGCCATGTGCTCATTCTTAACTGTGCAAGATAAGATCCGTGTCCCTAGGAGCTTACTGCCTGACTTTTGCAAAAACCAGATGGCAGAAAATGGTTTCCCTCTGCCCATCAGCAGTGATTGAGGGGGTGGAGATGAGAAGGGTTCAGTCAATTCGTGAGTCTCCCCGGGTGGGACCTGTGCTTTGGCATTGATCCCATGTGTCATTTTAATCGTGGACTGTCTCTTTCCATCACCCACTCCCCCATCCTTTGCTCTCCAGGAGGCTCTGAGAATTCTAGCTAATTTGAATAATGACTTAATGAAAGTGTCAGGTCATCAAGATGCCTCTCACAAGTGTGCACACAGAGAGATCACAGATTCTACAACCCGCCCTCAGTGACTTTTGGGTTACAAGTAGGGTAAGTTGTATATAAATCACAGGCTGCAAGGCTTGACTAGGAAGCACATGTCCGGATGTCCAGCACATGGGCATCTTCGGGTGCTCTGGGTCATAGTTAGCAGATTGAGCTGGGCGTGGTGGCTCATGCCTATAATTCTGGCACTCGAAAGGCTGAGGCAGGAGGATTGCTGTGAGCTTGAGGCCAGCCTACATAATGAGTTCAAGGCAACCTTGGATGACATAATGAGATCCTGCCTTAACCACTCCCCACCCCCTCCAAAAACCTATCAGATGAGTAGGAACAGGTACCCTAGGACCCTGCTCATCAGTATTCTGTCCCCTGAGGAACCTCTGTTACCCTGCACATGAGTGTGTCCAGTGACCCTGGGCTTCAGGATAGACTCCAACCCTTGTGCCTGTTTGCAATGGCATGGGTTTGCTAGAAGAACAAAGATCTGCCCTTCACGGCAACATGAGAACCATCTGACCACGATGTATGTGCTGGGTCAACCTGAGGAGCACGGCAAGTGCATGCTGCTTGGTTGCTTCATCTTTATCTGGGTTTTCATTTAAAAAATGAAAAAACAAACAAACAAAAAACAAAGCAATAGACTAAGCTGAGGACAGGAAGAGCCCAGCTCCCTGCACTTGCCCTGTGCTGTCTCCGAGCCCCTGCCCTCCCCTGCCCTGCAGTCTGTTTGAGGTGCCCATCCTGTGGCTTT